AAGAGTGAGATGTCTGTTGCTTCTAACTCACTGCCTCAAGGTGAGAAGCATGAGGGAGAAAAAGAAAAAGAAGGATTTGGGGAACAGAACATGACTAAGGCGTGTGGAATTCCGTTTAATTGGTCGAGGATTCATCACCGAGGGAAAACATTCCTCGATAAGGCTGGTAGGAGTTTGTCTTGTGGTATGTCTGACTCCAAAGGAAGAAAAGGTGAATCCAATGAGAGAAATGGTTCTGATATGATGATGATACAATCTGATGATGACTCAAGCTCCTTTATCCGTTCTGATGCCGAGGCACTTCCTTTACTAGTTGATAGTGCAGAGAATGAAGGTTGGGAGCACGATTACTCTGGAGAGCTAGGGATTTTCGCTGACAATTTGCTCAAGGACGAAGAAGATCCTGATCTTGCTTCAGAAGGAAGGTCAGGGGAGAAAAAACACAAGAAGAAGAACCATAGAAATGCTCGGCATCGACATCAGCATCAGAGTCTAACAGAGAAATACACGCCTAAAACATTCCGAGATCTCGTGGGGCAGAATTTGGTAGTACAAGCTCTTTCCAACGCAGTTGCAAGACGGAAACTTGGACTTTTATATGTATTTCACGGTCCAAATGGAACCGGAAAGACCTCTTGTGCTCGGATATTCGCAAGGGCTTTGAATTGTCATTCCGTGGAACAACCGAAGCCTTGTGGTACTTGCAGTTCATGTGTTTCACATGAGATGGGTAAAAGTCGGAACATTCAGGAAGTTGGTCCTGTAGGGAATTTCGACTTTGAGAACATCATGGATTTGCTTGATGGTAATATTATGGTTTCATCGCAGTCACCTCGGGTTTTCATATTCGATGACTGCGATACCTTGTCATCTGATTATTGGAATGCGCTGTCCAAAGTGGTGGATCGAGCTGCGCCACGCCGGGTAGTCTTTATCCTCGTGTGTTCGAGTCTTGATGTTTTGCCTCACGTGATCATATCGAGGTGCCAGAAATTCTTTTTCCCGAAGCTGAAAGACGCAGATATCGTTTACTCCTTGCAATGGATTGCATCAAAGGAAGAGATTGAGATAGAGAAAGATGCTTTGAAGCTTATTGCTTCAAGATCAGATGGTTCATTAAGAGATGCTGAAATGACTCTTGAACAGCTGAGTTTGTTAGGACAGAGGATCTCTGTTCCTTTAGTTCAGGAACTGGTAAGCATTGTTCGGTAAAACGATTGAAAGTCGGAAACTTTTTCATAATTTCGAATTGAGATTCTCTTTTAATTTGTTTTTTCAGGTTGGTCTTGTTTCTGATGAGAAGTTAGTGGATCTTCTTGATTTAGCTTTATCTGCAGATACTGTAAATACTGTGAAGAATCTGAGAACAATAATGGAAACAAGTGTAGAACCATTGGCTTTAATGTCACAGCTTGCAACTGTCATAACTGACATTCTCGCGGGTAGTTATGATTTCACTAAAGATCGACATAAAAGAAAGTTTTTTCGACGTCAACCATGTAAGTTTCGATATTTTACAGCCTACATAAACTGCAATATTCCTTTGTTCGTTAGTTTCTGATCCAAATTTTTGTTTTGTTCGTCATTTTTAGTATCGAAAGAAGATATGGAGAAACTGAGACAGGCACTTAAGACGTTATCCGAGGCAGAGAAACAGCTGAGAGTATCAAACGATAAACTGACTTGGCTCACAGCTGCGTTGCTTCAGTTGGCTCCTGATCAGAACTATTTGCTTCAACGTTCTTCCACTGCGGATACTAGCTTTAACCGAAGTCCACTGCCTTTAGAGAACAATGGAGGTAGAGAAAGCTCAGATCACCATCTGGATCCTTCTAGCGACGCAGCAGGGGAAAAAAGTTCTGGATTGGACAGACGAAGAGGAGACAGTAGAAAAAACCGACCCGCCGTTGAAGAAATTTGGTTAGCAGTTATTGAGAAGCTTCGAGTTAACGGTTTGAGAGAGTTTCTTTATAAAGAAGGAAGAATCGCCTCTCTTAGTCTCGGTTCAGGTAATGCATTTCGTATCGGAAAAGCTTGAATCTTGATTTTGAAACCAATTTCTTTCTCGTGGAGTGAAATGATTGAATCTTGATTAGATGCTCAAACAAATTTTGATGCCAAATTTATTTTTCTGGTGTTATTGCAGCTCCGACTGTGCATTTAATGTTCAGTTCACCGTTAACCAAATCCACGGCTGAGAAGTTCCGTGGCCATATTATGCAAGCATTTGAGGCGGTTCTTGAGTCTCCGATAACTATAGAAATCAGATGCGAGACAAAGAAAGACCCAAGAAATAACAGGAATCATCAACACCCGCCTGCAACAGGCAAAAGCTTCCCATCATCTTTAGCACTCATTGGCCAAGATCACAACATCGATGGAAGCGGGAGAAGTGAGATAGTTGAAGTCACGGAATCTAATGGACAAAGACGGCATCAACAACAAAAGCAAGAGGAGGAAAAGACAGAGCGAGTTGGTTCCTCGGCGTTAGCCCGAGCTAGAAGGAAACATTTGGAAGCAAGCCAGGGTCAGAACCAGAGCCAAAGCATTGTACGAGGTAAAGTCTCGTTGGCCCATGTGATTCAGCAAGCCGATGGATGCACACTCCAAAACGGATGGTCTAAACGCAAAGCCGTGTCTATTGCAGAGAAGCTGGAACAAGAGAATCTGTAAGAATCTCAACAACTTACATCATCCCAAAGATATAAGACCAATTTGTTAAAAGTGTTTATCGTTTTTTTTCTTGCAGGAGACTTGAACCAAAATCAAGAAGCTTGTTATGCTGGAAACCCTCAAAAGGCACACGTCGCAAGGTAACAAGAAGAAACTCTCTTGATATTGAGTAAAAAATCAAAACTTTCTCTTGGTTACTTATGGGGTAATTGATAAAGTTGGAAACTTTGGAATTGTAGGTCACGAGGCTGAAGATGAGACCAAGAAGGGCAAGACCAAACTCGTTGTTGAAGCTCGTGTCGTGCGGGGAATGTTTATCAACAAGATCTCCAACAAGATAAGGGTGTTTTTGTTCTTTTGATCAATCATACGCAGATTTTACTGTAATCATCATAATCAATGTTAGCTTCTTTGCAATTTTAAAATCTTTATGGATATGTTCTTACCACAAAATAAATGGATTAGTTTTCACTGAATAAAAAAGAGATCTTTATGAGTTGAGAGATAAAATGGTAAATATGCTTTTGATTAATGTAGACACAAATGGATAAATGCGTTATGTAAACCGCACACGCTAATCGCAAATGCGTTATGTAAATGGCGGACACTAAACGCACCAACAATAAGATCAAAACATGTTAAAGAGCATTTGGTTCTGAAAAATACCAAAAAATCCCAACATCTCACAAAACCACAAAGGTAACGTATAACTCCCAACACGATTACTCATAAGGACGATAAATGAAAGTTTTGCAACGAAGAGTTGAGGAGATTTGATCCATCTCGATCATTGCTTTTCATCAAATCGCTAATAGTGCTATTGAATTCATTCAAAACTTCGATGATAGCTCGCAACTTTTGAATATCGTTCTCCTGCGAAAATTAACAATACTCAAATGGTTATATAGTTTACTTAAATGATGAAGTTAAACCAAAAAAAGAAGTACTCACCTGATTAATATGGTTCTTAAGTTTTGGAAGAACTTGATTCCTGAAATGATCTATTGCAGGAATTGCATCCTCTCTCAATTCCTCCAAATCTTTTATTGCTAAAGCCTTCTCATTTTCTTCGCTTTTGATGAACAAAAACTCCTCATCCGTGTTTTTGCAAATATTGAGTCTATCTAGTATCAGCATTTGCGCGTACCGTTCGCCAATCTTCTCCAAAAGCTCGGGTTGGTCTCTCACGAAATCATCGCATGCAAACTCCAATTGTCGTCCGGACACAATCTTTCTAAATCCCTATACGTACAACAACAACATCATCACAAAGTTTTAATATGATGAGTGTATTACAAACTTACATATGTTCCAAATCTTGCAAAGTAACAACAAAGTATATCATCATATCTACGGCGATGTTTTAGTTGTGGATTTGGCCAAGAATGTACAAACTTACATAGGTTTCAAATCTTGCAAAGTTTGTGATTCCTAAGGTTTGTGTAAGGAGGTCTTTGGAACATTCTTGCGGATTCCAAACTATGAAATTCTTGCCGTTTTGGCTCCACGAGATTATTGAATCCGTTGAAGGATCATTCACCATCGCATATGCTTTGTTGAGGAAATCAAAGATTTTGTTTCTTCTAGGAGTAACATGATTGTAATTGATATTTTCACGATCCATATTAGCCCTAATATGACTTCAAACTATATTCTATAATATCTACCAAAAGACAAAACAAACAATCGAATCGAATTAAATAAACACGTATATACTAATAGGAGAAGAATCAACATAAACAAAAAAAAACGAAGAAATTATCGGACCGAAAATGCAAATTGTCTTCTGCAAAAAGTGAAACAAAACCAAGGGTATTATATATACAAAACTTAATAATATTACACCACGGTTTCCTTTTTATACAAAACTCAATTTCTATTTAATTAAATATAGATCTCAACATTTTAAACTGTTAATTCTTGCCCCCAAATCAATATGTAAATTATTGCAGACTAGATGAAGGACCCGCATATATGCGGGTTTGTAATTTAATTTTTTATAAATATAGGGACAATTACAAAAATGCCACTTTTTGTGTGCACATTTGCAAGAATATCACTTAGAGGTGTCCATTTACAAAAATGCTAATTATAGATTTATAAAGCCTATATCTTAAAATTCTAAATCCTAAAAAATATTTTGACACCTAAAACCCCCTAAACACTCAAAACTAAACCC